TGGAACCGACCTTCGAATCTCTTCACCAAACACTTCTACTCGAAATGGAAGTAAGCCCAACAATTATGGAACAAGAGATTCCTCGAAATCCAACTTTTCTTCGTATATATTAGGTGGTACTGTAAAATTAAGAAGTGAGAAGTGTGCTTTACATGATTTAATAGTAGAGCGAAGCGGTCCATTTTTACACCAGCAATTCTAAATCGATTCAGACAGGCTCCCTGAGAATAAGGGTGAAGTAGGGATGAGAATAAGACTAACTTGGTTATGGGTCAGAAGTCTATGGAGGAGAAGATGTCTAGGCATAAAATTCATCTGTCTTTAAATCCTAGACCATCACGTAAACCGATATTGGAATCGAAGACTCGTAAGCAGCCACGTAGTTATTTCCACGCATAGCAGGATACGCCTTACAGTCGAGGTGGACAGGGGCAAAATGAAGATCAGAAGTCCTGCAAACGGCATCTAACACCGAATGTGAGAGGAATTATACTTCATTAAATCGACTTGACGTGATACATTCTTAGGCAACATTGAAAGAAACGATAACAAAGAATGGTGTGAATATGTAAGTGGGCCATATGGAGTAAGGTTGAGAGAAAGGGAGACAGCAGTAGAATCTGATGCCATAACGGTTGAGCAGAAAATTGGTCGAGGAGATTGCCTTTATTTCTCGCTTTAATTAGCTGTAACTCTGTGCCAAAGATGGTTCCTCTCACTGACGATGCTGATATGTCTGGGGATGTACTAAGTCCACGTTCCGATGCTACTTTGGCAAAGGAAGCAGGACTTGGTACGTCCCACAAGGTCTCCCTGTCGCTCCGGACAAGCATAAGTATATTTAGCGAACTGTGCGTTAAATTTTATTTTCTAGGTCTTGTTTCATGCAGGTCTTGATAGTAAGAATCTGATGTCTTCGTATATGTCAGATCCATATACCATTAAGTCATCACTAAGGTATCTATAAATTTGAATCACTCTGGCTTTTTCAAACTAAGACAGAAAGTAAGAGCTCTGTGATAGAACCTGAAGTTTAGCGATGTGACTACGCCCTCATTGAATATAGCGGGCTTTTGCTCCTCTCTTATTTTGAAGGCTTCATTGAAAAGTCTTCCTAATCATCTGTGACAATATATACTCAAATGCTCATAATGATTTAGAGCATCCTCACTAAATATCAACTGCGTTTGGGATAAATAGCATAAATATTTTGCTTTCTAACCCATAAAGCCATAAGTGCTTAGTGTTTTTTCTCTCTTGGATTAGCGAATAGATTCTAAAGATCGAATTCTATAAGGCTTATTTTTGTTAAATCCGTCCTTTTTATCCGTGTAGTCTTACAAGGAGTGTTATATCATGAATAATATAATATCACTCGTTCTTTTTTCTGGCTTGCTTGGCCTCTCTGCACTGTAGTGTATTTGTATTCATTTATTTTCTATATACTAGGCTTTATAGCTTGACTCTGGGGTTGCTAGATAAGCTAACATTGATCGCCTTGAGTTCATTTTTTACACCAGCTATTGGAATGTCAGGTTTTTTACATTTTAAGAGGACCGATTATTTCAAATTTCTCATTATTAGGTTATTTATAATAAGTCTAAATGTGTATTTATTGTTTTGTAATTCTTAAACAGTATCTACCAGAGCGCTTTGTAAATAGCCTTTTGTTCCGCCAGTCCTCGCATCCCAGTCGACCGGGCAGGTTAGGTCTCCTTTCCTGGGGCCTGCAGAAAGCGCTTCAGTTTAGAAAGACTATACAGCGAATTAAACCACTTGACTCTAGGGCTACCCGACATTTTTCACAGGCTGAGCACAAAGTGCGACGTGACCTTAATCGCCGCAGGGTCCGTCATGTACGCGAGGCACGACGATTGCATCAAATGTCTGAGCCTTCAGTCAGCAGCAATTTATCCGGCCCGAACTCGTCATCTCCATTCTCCCTGGTTCCCGACCTACCTGTTCATGACTATTCACAAGCTCCTAAAGCTTCTTCTACCGTCGAAAATAACATGGAGAAACCAGGTCTAGTGAAAGCTCCATTGCAAATGGATACATATGATAGGTCCTCCAATAAAACATATACCCGAAATCTTTCCCAATTGAAAGCGATTCTAACCTATGTTGACCAGAGGGCTGCTTTTTATTGCAACCAGCAATCAAAGCTTCGGGAAATGTATAAATCTTTTTTGTGTGAGTTAATATAAACTTTAAAAAAAATTTAATGTTACTTTGCTATACAACACAAGTGTTTTGTGTAAACTTATTTTTGGAGATTAACTCTTCAAGCCTATTCTAAACCTTGTAAATAAAGCTGGAATGCCTCGTAGCCTGTTTAAATTCTGATTTTATCTATTCTTGTCTATTAGGTCCATAGTCAATAGGGTCCAAGACTTATTAGTGAACTTCTGTGGCTTGTATTACTATCACTGCGCTTTTTTTAAATGTGATAGTAATAATCATTAAATTAATCATAATTATTACTGTTATTCGTATACATGAAGAACGAGACTTTATAACCCATATTTTTTGACCATAGCTTCCGTTCGTAGCATAAGAATAACTTGACTTCTTTTTCTCAACTTAGTCGCGCTGTAAGCACGACCTGAATGAATGCACCTTGTCCGAAGTCCTTTGCTTTAGTAGTTGTGATAATTTCCAGCGTCGGACCATGGACTTTGTATATTGCCGGACGTTTCGTCGGCATCATATTTACCATTACCTGTGGGTCTTCCCACTTAGTACCAAGCTACGACACGTCAGAGACAAATAAATGCCATCCTTTAATCGATTTTCTGCCAAATGAATGTTTTAGCATTTTTGCTATATCTAGCTACCACCCTTCCTCTTATATATATATATATATATATATCTCATTTTTATTGGTAGTCTCGAAACCCTACTTATGAATGAAAAATAATCATATATATATATATATATATATATGATATATATATGGTATCCTTGAAACCCTACTTATGAACAAAAACGAGGAAGGATGTCTGGTGGACTATGTCAACCTGAACGTCATATTAAAGCTAAAAGGCTACAGTACAACGGAAATCTGTCATCTTGTGGTGCGGTTGGCCTACACATCTCTTCATCATGCAATTGCATACGAAATGGAAGTTTTCACAACATTGCTGAGGGATATTTATAAATTGTCTTTTGATTACATGAGTTTTGGAAGGTGGTGTTGCGAATTTAATGTTACCAAACTAACAGATCAAGTGAGAACAATCGGGAATTAATCACTAATGGCTAATCTACACCTATCACTATATCCAGTATCATATATGCTTGTAAAAAATTATTTTTAATGCATCTTTTCCTAATTCAACACACTTTTTAGGGCTAATTCCCTAGTTGGGATATTCGGCAAAAGACTGCGAATATCTTGGTCTTCATATCTTGTTTAAGCTGTTTAGCATTAAGAAATTGTAATTTATAATCATTGAATTGTCACCACAGCAATAGGCTCATTATTACCCTTTTGAGTCCATTAGAATTCTATCATTTATTTGGATGACCTACGACATGTTGCCACACACCCCATTTGATATTATATTATTATGCTGACTTGAATGATATAAAATAATTGTACAATATGAACTTTGACTTTTCATTTTGTTAGTATCATCGGCGCGGTTCAGACGTAAAGCAAGAAAATCTGCCTTTCCTTTTGCCCAGTATCTGCTCCGAGAACAACAGGAATTACAAACTCTCGAAGAGCGAAATCTCCTTCTTTCCAAGGTATCCTTTAATCCTTATTTTACACTTCTTACTCTTTATTCAAGGCAATATTTGTCTTTACGTTAACAAGAATTTATTCATCAGTCTGTTGCTAGCCTTCAAAAACCTTGGCTACACTCTGCATTTATATATTTCACAAATATTAACTAATCCTCACTTTTCTGACCACTTTTATTCTTTTTCATTGTTTTATATCTTAGTATTCTACGGAGGTCGTCCCCAAAGACATGTTTGATTCCCCTATTCGTTTGCAGAGACCATGCCTTCCGTCATCCAGCCAAGACATCCTCTCTCTTATATTCTATTCATCTAATGGCTGTTGTTCACCATACCGCTCTTTGCTGCTCTCTACACTAGAAATCCTCTTAGAGATTTCTCTTGGTTGGTCTGCGTCCAATAAATCTGGCCTCCCAAATGATGTCTCCACTACTAATGCCTCTTTGCCTAATAATTATAAAAATATCAGTAATGCTTTTGTACAGTCTATCACAACATCATTACCTGTAGTGCACACATTTAATGAGGTAGATGAACAGCCCAAGCCTCAGGATGATACGGTCTTTTGGTTATCTTGTCGCTTGCTCTGCGCTTTTATGCCATATTTATCAACCATGGAATTGATTCACTTGCTTCGTGGGTCTACTAACGCGCTCCCTGATAGTCGATCAAGTGAGAATTCGGATGAAGTAGTCGCTGGCTCGCCTTTATACATACTATTTGCTCGGCTTTCTGGGCTTTCTGGGCTTTCTGACCCTTCAGTTGAATTAGGAATCAACGGGTTCTTAAATTATCCCACTGATATGAATAACCCGTCAGATCGCCAGACTGCAGACTATGAAGCTGTTACTTATGGATTAAATTGTTTATTTGCCGGGTTGATGAGCCACTTTGGGACTGATGATCATCAATTTGCCGACGAGCTGGCAAGGCATTCAGTTAAAAACGACCTTCCAATGGGTTTTGCTAACGAAGTTGCTTATGAAAACAGAGACGAAGCTGAAATTGCCTCTCCCACGAAATGTCCTTTTTCTTCCCCAGTACCTTCAGTCTCATCGAAATATGATAAAGCAGCGTGCACGTAAGTCTTAATCTTTTATTATATTCTTCATATTTACCGGCGTCTTAGAATTGACATTTTTCTACATACTGCCGGGTTTATTTCATATCAACATTTCTATTCACATTTCTCCTTGAACTATAGTAGCGACAACTGAAGACTCATAGCTGATAAGATATAAAGTTGATAATAACTTTATCAACTTAGGCACATTATGTGTATTTGATCAGACGTAGTGGAATTTTTCATAATACTATGAAAAGGCCTCGCGATTACATTGAATTTCACTCTATCTGGCTTCCCATGAGAATTCTTCATCCAGAGATGATTCTGGTTTCAACTTGGTCTTAATTTGAGCAACATGCCTC